GTATTGACTAGACCAATACATTTCAGTTAAAATTTTCTATCTAGCATGAAAATTGTGGGCGCCACAGGCTTGGGCGGTTTGTGGGCGTTAGAGTGGGCGTGGTTTTGGGTCAATCGATAGGTATTGACGAGAACAATACATTTCAGTTAAAATTTTTATTCTAGCATCAAAACTGTACAGCCACAGTTTTGGGCGGTTTGTGGGCGTTAGAGTGGGCGTGGCACTCTGCTGAAACAAACTTGCGCTGCGCAGGAATCTCAGGAATCTGCATGCCTAATCCCAGTATTGTAGCTTGTATATTTTCCGAGATCTCAGCGTTCATACGGACAGACGAACAGACGGACGGACATGGCTAGATCGACTCGGATAGTGATCCTGATCAAGAATATATATACTTTATGGGGTCGGAAACGCTTCCTTCTGCCTGTTACATACGAATCTAGTATACCCTTTTACTCTATGAGTAACGGGTATAAATTTCATTTATATTGTATATGGTAAATCGAAATTTTTTGTATAATAAATGGCGGTTCATTAATAAGTATGACTTATAAGTTAAGTCCGGGAAAGATCCGAAATGAAATTGTTTGTCAAACTCTTGGCAATTAGAAAGTTCCAAATGCTTTTGCCTTTTGTCCGCTACAATAAAATCGTCTTCCTCTAATATTTCAGAGTCACCTCGTTTTCTAGAATTGGGCTCGTTGGTAGAGCCATACATATAGTCATCCTTATCATTGCACTGGTAAACCGTGTAATTGTTCTTAATATACTTGTTTAATCTTAAAATACAAAAGGACGATTATATTTATATTTATACATGGTAATATTTGATGGATACTCACAGCTTTAGCAAATAAGGATCAAATGGGAAAAACGATTCCAGCGTCTCCTCGGGCATACATTTGTCGTGGCCGTGTACTGTGGCTAGTTTTCGCCGAGCGTTGCGCTCCAAAACAGTATGGCAGTAGGCAAGCTGGTAAGTTCTCGTTACACCAGCAAATGCTGTAGCCACTGTGGCTAGACAATATCGCAGAGCATTTAAATGACACATAGAGAGGCGAGATAGTTGAAGGGACTGACGGAAGAGCAAATCTAAAAAAGATTTTAAAATATTACAATCATAAAATGTACCCACTTAATCTTAAGCTGTAAAAAAAGCTTAAAACAATCTTTGAAAAATCACTAAAAACCAATTTGGTCATGTTTTATCTGAGAAAAATCTTTGCTTCACAACACTGATGGAAAAATAAGTTGACAAATGAGAGTTCCAACAAGAACTATCGCATAATCCCTGAACAACCAAAATAACTCAGACTGTCAATTATTATTAGAAATGTAATTTCTAAAATTGAAGACTAGCTGCCTGTGCCAATGGTTCCATGGTGGGAGAAGTCAAGCACGGAATAATAGACGGAGACACCAGTAAATAAACAGTCCCGGACAGCCAGCGTGTATCCTGCAACGAAGCAATACCGACGATGGGAATTGTTCAGCCGCATCTAAATAGTTGATTTACATAAACCCATGCCCAACACATCACCTACCCACCTTCCCTCCCAAAACAACATCTGACTTCGAACCGGACTACGATGTAATACGGACCGTGCCAAGAGTCAGCTTGGCTGGGGGCCCGGATCAAAAACTAGCCCAGTCCGAACGGTGTGCTCAGGAATATGGCGACCCCCTGTTCTAACTATCGTCTTGCCCGGGCATCGCGGATCTTTGCGCGGCCCTTTCTCCTTCTCCGCAACTGGGACCAATTATGGACAACAAAACTAACTTAAAGCAAAATACGGAGACGGGAACTATCAAAAAACCTACGGAAATGCTGAACCTGGTTCCAACATCCGCACAAGCACGGTCCTGAAAGGGCCGCATCCCGAACTAGGGATGTCGGGTGGCAGAAAGCCAGGCGCAAATGCCTCCGCCACGGGCGCTTCTGCGCCTAAAACAGTGGTAAGGATATCCAAGGCGCTCGGGCCACCCGCTGGCGCTGGGTCGTTCTCCGTTTCTGAGTAATATTCCGACAGAGCCTTCCTCATGTCGCTTAGCCTGCCCTCCAGGGCGACATTAGGCCTCTGTGCGACATGGGCGAAGTCCTCCTTCTTATGGCGGTAAATCCACTTCTTTCCCATTTTTATTGTGTTGGTCTTACTGTTGGGACAATCACGTTGGGCGCCAGATGTAACGAACTGATTTTTGTTGGTCTGCTCGCTTCGAGACTCGTGCGGCTAGCTCAGAAGATTGTGCGTTCGTCCCACCAATTTTATGACGTGACTTTCCCGTAGATCAGTGAGAAAACACAGGGTTCGAATGGTAACAGTGGGTTTTATTCTCGTGTTATTAATACAGCCGGAGTGTTGATGGGCTGGTCTCGATATTTCCTTGCTCTGGTTCCACAGGCTGCTGATGCTTCTCGTCCTGGCCTTCGACGCGTTGACTTGATGACCGCTGGCTCCTGTGTCTCGGGATGCTCGTAGTGGCCGCCTCTGCTCGCTTGCCGACGCGCTGCCTCGGGGTCGCTTGTCGCGCCTTGCGGGCTTACGGAAGCGTCACCAATCTCAGACTAGGGTGAACAAGCCTTGCTCTCCAGTCCAACGCCTTTCGAGGCAATACCTGTCCCTTGCTCTGTCCCGGACGGTCCCACTAGTTTCGTGCTCAGATCGTGTTGACAGTCAAGGTTAACGCCAGGAAGCTGCCTAGCAGTTCACTTTGCTTTACGCCTAGCGCAGGCTTAACCCTAATGCTTACGTCCGCGACGCTCCTGCGCTCCCCAATGAGCTCATCGCGGCGATGGTAACGTGGCTGCCGGTGATGTCTGCTGGCGTCGCTGCCGTTGTCCTCTGCGCTGTTTCATGTCTTGCCGCTGGGCTTCTCCAGAACAACGCCTCTTGAATGCCTCAACGGGTCGTTCGCTCGCCTTTCCTGACTAAGAGCTTGGCGTTTCTGGCACTCGAGGTTTTGGGCTGTTGCTGTTCGGGAACTTCGCCGGTAATTGCAGGGATTCGCCAGGGTGTGTGGTCGTGACAAAGTTGAAAACCGAACGCTTTAAACGCCTCAGCCACTTGTGTCGCAATTTGGAGATTGCTGATGTCCCAATCCCGAACGTCTCGACGTGGCGATGCTTCCGACGACTCGCCTTGTGGTGGCTCCCTCGTAGATTACTCGGTTGACTGACTGTTCACCTTGGTACCTTGACTGATCTTGACGGTTTGACTCCTCGTGATCGACTAATCCAGCTGCCAGCGCTCTGTGGCCTTATATAGGGCCTCCGGGAACCGTTATTTCCCTTTTACGCACGGCCCGCTGAATCTCTCCTCTCCGGGTCCAGGCTCTCTCATACTCCATCCTTCGCCTCCAAATTCTTTTCTTCTCCAGCAGTTCCTCGCCACGACGTTACTACGCGAGTTCGCCGCGTATTTGGTAAGCCGCCGGCCATCTGTTGCTGCTGTTTCTAAGATTGAATAACTCCCCACAATAATAATAACAAAATCTTATTTAATTTAGACGGGTTTTAGCGTTATGGTCTTTTCAGTGAGCGTGGCTCCGCGCTGAAACAAACTTGCGCTGCGAAGAAAGAACCTACACGCCAAATCCCAACATTTTACGGACAAACGGACATGGCTAGATCGACTCGGCCAGTGATGTTGATCAAGAAAATCTATACTTTATGGGGTCGGAATCGCTTCCTTCTACCTGTTACATACTTTCCAACGAATCTGGTATACCCTTTTAATCTACGAGTAACGGGTATAATATCATTTATATTGTATATGGTAAATCGAAATATTTAAAATAATGAATGGCGGTACATTAATAAGTATGACTTATAAGTTAAGTCCGGGGAAAGACCCGAAAATAAATTGTTTGTCAAACTCTTGGCATTTAGAAAGTTCCAAATGCTTTTGCATTTTGTCGGCTACAATAAAATCGTATTCCTCTATTGTGAGGAGTTGAATAACTCCCCACAAATAGAAGCAGCAGCAGATGGCCGGCCGCTTACCAGATACGCGGCGAATTCGCGTAGTAACGGCGCGGCGAGGAGAGTTTGGAGACTTGGATGGAGAACGAGAGAGTTTGGAGACCAAGGATGGAGAGCGAGAGAGTTTGGAGACCAAGGATGGAGATCGAGAGAGTTTGGAGACCCAGGGTGGAGAGAGAGAGTTTGGAGACCTCACTTATAGTTTCCGAGATCTCCGCGTTCATCAGGACACACGGACAGACGGACAGACGGACATGGCTAGATCGACTCGGCTAGTGATCCTGATCAAGAATATATATACTTTATGGGGTCGGAATCGCTTCCTTCTACCTCTTACATACTTTCCAACGAATCTAGTATACCCTTTTACTCTACGAGTAACGGGCATAATAAAAGGGCAACAAAAACGGGAACGAAAAAAAAACAATATTTTAATCTATCTGTAGTTTTTATATGAGCTAAGACCATTTAAAAATACTAAAAAAAACAAGGAACAACGACATAGTCGAGTACCTCGACTATCAGATACCCGTTCCTCAGCTAAATGCAGATATGCAAGCAGCAAAGCGAGATTAAAATGCGCCACCTATCGGCTGTAGACAGATTTAAGCTTTATGGGTGTTAGAGTGGGCGTGGCAATCGATAGGTATTGACGAGACCAATACATTTCAGTTAAAATTTTTTATCTAGCATAAAAATTGTGGGCGTCACAGGTTTGGGCGGTTTGTGGGCGTTAAAGTGGGCGTGGCAATCTTATTTTAGGTCAATCGATAGCTATTGATGATAACAATACTTTTCAATTAAAATTTTTATTCTAGCATCAAAACTGTAGGAGCCACAGTTTTGGCCGGTTTGTGGGCGTTAGAGTGGGCGTGGCACTCTGCTGAAACAAACAAAGTTAAGTCCGGCGAAAGATCCGAAATTAAATTGTTTGTCAAACTCTAGGCATTTAGAAAGTTCCAAATGCTCTTGCCTTTTGTCGGCTACAATAAAATAGTCTTCCTCTATTATTTCAGAGTCAGAGTTTTCTAGAAATGGGCTCGTTGGTAGAGCCATCCATATAGTCCTTATCATTGCACTGGTAAACCATGTAATTGTTCTTAATATACTTGCTTGATCTTAAAATACAAATGGTCGATTATATTAAGACATGGTAATATTTGATGGATACTCACAGCTTTTGCAAATAAGGATCAAATGGGAAAAACGATTCCAGCGTCTCCTCGGTCATACATTTGTCGTTGCATACAAACGGTCGATTATATTAAGACATGTTAATATTTGATGGATACTCACAGCTTTAGCAAATAAGGATCAAATGGGAAAAACGATTCCAGCGTCTCCTCGGGCATACATTTGTCGTGGCCGTATACTGTGGCTAGTTTTCGCAGAGCGTTGCGCTCTAAAACAGTATGGCAGTAGGCAAGCTGGTAAGTTCTCGTAACACCAGCAAATGTTGTAGCTACTGGGACTAGACAATATCGCAGAGGATTTAAATGACACATAGCGAGGCGAGATAGTTGAAGGGACTGAAGGAAGCAAATCTAAAAAAGAATTTTTAAAATTACAATCAAAAAATTTACCCACTAAATCTTAAAGCTTAAAACAATTGTCGGTTCACGCAGCCGCAGCAGCTTATTAACTTAATTCGATCTCTTATATTAATTGCATCGCGAAAGGTAACTCTATCTATCTAGCTCTCTTGTTTTTTATGTACTTGCATTCTTGGGCCCAGCATTCGGCTGGCTGTCCCTTTGTAAATGTAGTACGAATTCTGATCTCGACATTAAATGCACTCTCGTCTTGCCTGCTGTACTCTCTCTCGCTAATAAATTGTTAACAAGCAAAAATCAACCTGAAATTCATATTTTTTAATTAAGCAATAACTAATAAAATAGCTTATTAGTTCGAAATTGGTGATCCCGACGTGATTTGTGCATAAATAATACTGAGTGCAAATCATATAAGTATATTTATTGACTTTTTCGTTCTTGCGGCTGCGGTGCATTGGCGGAGCAACAATCATAAGGCCTTAAATGCAGTGAGCTCTATAAATAAATAGCAGTTGGTGATTGCGGAAATTTACATATAAGGCGCAAAATCAGCTTTACATAGAAGCGTACATAGCCAAGTAACGGGCTGTTATTCCCTCGTTTGCTTTGCGCTCATCTTCCCGCTGGAGCCGAATTTCGGGCATTTCGTCTGCTGTTGTTGTTGTAGCCATGCCTACGGTAACTTTTGGAGATGTTACCGCTGATGCAAACAGGGCAATATTTTTAAAGCGCAAGGCAACGGCTTTATTTAATAGAGTGGAGCGCTTAGTGGATTCCTTATCAAGTGCGGCGTTAACTTCATGCGACGAATCCGGTCTTCAAGTGAGGTTGGAGTTTATTGAAGAGCTTCAAGAGTCATTTAAAAAGGTGCTCGGTGAGCTCGAAGAATTCGATTTCGAGGAAATTGAAAGTGATTTAAGTGAGAAATTTGATGACATTCTCGTAATTCTGAAGTCATCGGTTGAATCCGAAATTTCAAAGCGCGCCTCACAGCTTCTTTCGCACTCAACTTTTGCTGACGGCATCACTCCGGGAGTTTTCGGCCCCCAGCAGCGTCAGCTTCGACATAGGGCAGCATTGCTGCCCCCACTGGAGCTTCCAAAATTCGCTGGAGGTCAAGCAAATTGGTCAGACTTTTATTCTATGTTTACCACGATCATAGATAGTCATCCGGACCTCAGCAACGTAGAAAAGCTGCAGCTTCTACGATCGTGCCTTAGGGATGCAGCGTTGGAAACTATTCGCTTTAGATTTGCTGAAAAATAGATTTGATAATAGACGTTTGGTTTTTCAGGCACACATTATTGAGATCCTAGGCCTAAGGGTGGTGCAGAGTGATTCCGTCTCGACACTTCGGGAGCTGTCCGATAAATTCAACGCTCATATTCGTGCTCTCAAAGGACTGGGCACGACGGAACAAATCGCAGGATGCATTATCGTCCAAGTCCTGTTCCAAAAGTTGGATCCGGCAAGTCAGGCAAAGTGGGAAGAGCGTTTAGAGGACCCTGCGTTCGTCAATTTATATCCTACGTGGGAGTCAATGGCATCATTTCTGGAGCAGCGATGCAGGACGTTGGAGACTATGGATTTCGCCATGGCAAACTATGCGCCGGGCAATCAGGTGGGAAGTAACAGAATACCCAATGCGCGTAGATCAGCATTTGTTTCCTCGAATGCTAACCCTTGGATTTGTATATTCTGTAATGATACGGGGCATTCCATTTCTTATTGTCAGAATTCTAAAATCCTGTCTCCTGCGAATAGGCTTCAAGAAGCGAATCGGCTCGGTCTTTGAATAATTTGTATAAAGGTCGGTCATCAAGTTCGGCAATGCAACTCCAGTAGTTGTCGTGCATGCGGATCTAAGCACCACACCCTGCTTCACCTGGGAAACTCACCTTCCTTTCATTCACAAGAAGGGGCACAGCTTCAAGAAGCACTTCCCTCTGCCTCACCCTCTGCACTGCCTTCCACTTCGATTGCTCTTATTGCACAGGAGTTAAGTAATGATATTGTGCTCTTAGCAACGGCTAGCGTTTTAGCAAAAAACCGTTCCGGGGTTTTCGTTCCCTGTCGAGCTCTACTCGATTCACGCTCCCAACTGCATCTAATAACGTCCCGATTCGCAAATCAGCTTCAAGTAAAGAAAATTAAATCTTCAGCATCTGTAACTGGAATAGGAGATTATGCTCCCCAGCGGGTGGATCTTTTAATCGGAGCCAGCCTCTTTTTCGAGATGTTGTGCGTTGGCCAAATCAAGTTCCCTCCTGGATCACCCCTAATTCAAAAGACGCGTCTGGGCTTGCTTGTTTCTGGAGGTTATGGCCTTTCCAATGACTCGACTTTAATGTCGTCTCAAGGTGTACTTCTCGCTTATAGAGAGAATAGTTTCGATCGGTTAGATGATCTTCTTCGACGATTTTGGGAAGTGGAAAGCTGCGCCGAGGAAGGAATACCTCGATCTAGGACATATGTCATCAGTTTCTGCCGCTGACATCGGGTTGTGCCGATACTTCTTGCCTCATCATTGCGTCATAAAGGAAGTTAGCTCCACTACAAAGCTTCGCGTAGTTTTTGATGGATTGGCGGCCAGTTCCTCAGGCTATTCTCTCAACGATGTTCTTATAGCAGGTCTGTTATTCAGCCTAAGCTGTTCCAGATTCTTCTTCGGTTTCGTACAGCGTTTCCGCTTGGGGCTGAGGTCATTCGTCGTGATTTTTATGTGGATGATTTGATATCTGGAGCCAAGTCCAAGGAAGATGCAGTCATCATTGTGGATCAGGCATCAAAACTTCTAGCCAAGGGAAAATTTGAGCTTAGAAAGTGGTGCTTAAATGTGTCGGCTGTTTTGGATGGAGTTGCAGACAAGGATAAGGAGTCCTGTTTAGGTCTCGCTTGGGATCCAGTTTCTGACCAATTATTGTTTTCCTTTTCGGTCTTACAGTCAACATCAAGCTCTGCAGGCGATCTGTCCTGTCTGCAATAGCGCTATTTTACGATCCTCTCGGGTTTGGACCTGTGATCACAAAAGAAGAGAAGTTATCCTGGGATGAAAGCCTTCCTGAGTCACAGAATACGGAATGGAGTGCTATATGTACGAGTTTTGGGCAGATTAGGCATGCGTCATTTCCTCGGCTGGTTCGTTCTCCAAACTCTGAGAGTGAAATTAATGGATTTTGTGATGCCAGCATAGAAGCATATGGTGCCTGTGTCTACATCGTTTGCATCGGCCAATCTCAATTACTTTGCTCAAAGTCAAGGGTAGCCCCCTTGAAAACACTCACTGTGCCCAAGCTGGAACTGTGTGGGGCGGAACTCCTGTCTAGGCTCATGGCAGAAGTGGCTGGGACGAGTGCATTTGAGGGAAAGTTTTACTGCTGGAGCGACTCTACGGTAGCGCTTTCATGGATCCGAGACGAGCCGTCCAGATTCAATATTTTTGTAGCGAACCGTGTAGCTGCCATTCAAAAGCTAACTGAGTCAGTGGAGTGGCGATATGTTCCAACTTCTTTAAATCCAGCTGACATTGTCTCCCGCGGTGCTTTTCTTGCTGAGCTCAACGAGTCTCCTCTCTTGGCTCATGGACCAAAATTCTTCTGTGGCCCCAAAGCTGACTGGCCGACCCCAATCACTGCTGAAAAGCCGGAGGATTCTACTAACAAAATCTCCATACGAAGACATAGAGGCCAGTACAAAATTTGCCAAATCCTTTGCTGCCCTTCAAAGAATTTTCGGATACGTCCATAAGTTTAGTAGTCGCATCCATCGCCCTACGCTCACGGTGTCTGACCTTCAAGGCGGTACTCTAATGTTGCTTCGTCTTATCCAGCGCTCACATTTATGGGACGACATCAAATCATTGCAGTCAAAGGGAATGGTGCACTCCTCCAGCTCGCTCGCATCTCTTCTTTGACCAATTTGGGCTTCTTAGAGTGGATGGCCGGCTAAGGAATTCTTCTCTGGATTTTAATGGGCGTCATCCAATTATCTTACCACGGAGTCATTCGGTCACTATCGGCATAATTCGATCCCAATATTGGCCTATTGGGGGCGGAAGACGGTTATGAAGGCGGTAAACAAATGTATTAGATGCTTTCGAGTAGTAGAGCATATCATGGCGGATCTTCCAAAGGAGCGACTTGATGGATCTCTTGCGTTCGAAGTCACTGGCAATGACTTTTGGGGGCTATTTTTCTACAAGTCAGAGGCGCGAAGCAAGCCTCCAGTAAAACGCTACGTTTGCGTCTTCATTTGCTTCGCCACGAAGGCTATTCATTTGGAGTTAATCAAGGATCTCTCTACGGTATCATTTCTACATGGCCTCAAACGATTTATATGCACTAGAAGAAGGCCGCGGCAGATTTGGTCTGATAATGCAACCAACTTTGTTGGCGCTCGCAATGAGCTGCTCGAACTAAGGCGCCTATTCCTCAGCAGTGATCACCAGAGAGATACGTTGGACTTTTGCCTAGCGGCGGCTATTGATTGGTGTTTCATTCCTCCTAGGTCGCCACACTTTGACGGTCTTTGGGAAGCGGCTGTGAAGATCGCTAAGCATCATTTCTACCGCGCTGTTGGCACTGCTGTTTTAGCCTTTGACGAGTTGCGGACCCTTGTGTGTCACATTTCGGCGGTTGTTCATTCTCGACCATTAGTCTCGATTTCAGAAAACCCAGCTGATCTGGATAAATTAACCCACTCTTTCGTCGAGCCGGATGTGACCAGTCTAAACTACAATCGCTTGGATGGATGGCAACGCGTGGCTTACTTGCAGCAGATCTTTTGGTCCCGATAGAAGGAAGAATACTCAACATTACTGCAGCAGCGCTCCAAGTGGCGCACCCCAAAACATGGCCTGGTTGTCGATGACTTGGTTCTGGTCAAGGACGAAAACTTGCCTCCCATGAAGTGGCCCCCCGCCAGAGTGATAGAGCTTCTGTTCGGTGGAGATGGGGTTGCTCGAGTTGCCGTTCTGAAGACAGCAT